ACACAACTGCGAAACATTAAATATTATAAAGAGAAGAGCACGGTGCTCCGGTGCTCAGAAAACACAACCAAGGGACACAGCCCCATCATAAGTTGAGGGCCTAGTTCACGATAATTTTGAGGTCCCGTTTTTGGGTCGAAAAGTGGAAGTATTGGCTTTGGTTAGTGCATGGGTGGTGAATGGGGCGAAAACGTTCGCCGATTTTGAGGAAAGTGCGGTAGTGAAAGTATAGATTGTACGAGATCAGCATGGATAATGGGGTATTTGAACGACATTACAGTTGTTGCAAGTGCGCAGAGAACTAACTACATCAAGCCAAAACTCTCTAGACATGCCTCTCATTGTTGCTGTGGAGCATGAGAAGTTGTTTGAACTCTCTACATGGGTCCCCTTGGATCGCATCTGAAAAGATAGAGGACTTTAAGGCGCGTGTCGCGCACACGGCTCTTGGCTAATTGATAAACAATCTTCGACGGTAGTTACTAGGTGGTAGGTAACCCTCGATTATACTTATTTCACTACTGCTTGCTTCAATAATACATGTTTAACACTTTATTCTGAGTTCTGAGCGTCTAACTGTTATACCTTAATGTTTTTTGATGGTGTTATGAGGTTGACTCGCTCCGGAAAGTGTTTATTTCCTTAAGCTCTTCATCCTTATAGACACCTTCAGCAGTCGAGTGTCCTCTTGGTAGGGCGCAGTTGTTCAACTTCATTTTACCATGAAAAGCCATGAAAGGGTATTTTCTGACCCTCGTATAAAGTGAACTTTTTACATGATTCCAGCACTTGAATAGACCATGAACATGTTCTCTACTTAACAAAAACAAACAGCATGTTTTCAGCCTTTTGAGATCATGTGTCAGAACAGAGCCGCGCATTCGACGCCAGAGTGTCCACAATATTTTTAGGGTGTTTAGAGTTGCATTTTTAGATGCGATCGTCCCCTTGTGAATGGTGCAGCCTGTACAATGCTGACAAAATTCGTCCGCACATACACACGGGACAATCTTTGAGCCTTTATAAAGCCCTGACTAGGCCGTTTTCCGACCTGATAGCGCTAATTTTGGTATACGAAGGACCCCAAATTCATACTGTGAGGAAATCTCAGAAGCCACTTATATCGTGAACTGTGCCTTTGCCAATGGCCTACCTTCTTTGGGAAACTTTTGCATTGTAATTGCGGCAAAAAGAACAACAATCAAACAAAAAAGTCAGAACAAAAATTCAATTTTGTGCGTGAGGCTCATCTAGAGTTCAGAAAAAATTAGTTTAAGCATCTACCAGGAGACATCTCCTGAGAAGCGGTGTGTAATGCATACCATGTTTGTTTGCAATTCTTTGATTATGCACCCTTTACTTCTGTGAAACAAGGAAAAAACGCAAGAAACTAGTATGACCGTCCACTTTGCGCTCCGTAGAGGAGAGAAAGTTTTCAGCATGCATCCCTTGCATCACGTGAAGCACGACCTGACCTGCAACCTCAAGGACTTAGCTGACTGGCTAGTGAGAACTTTCAGAGAGCACTCGCTAAGCTTGGGAAGTATGTAGATAAACTAGTCGAAAGATGCCCATGTTGAAACCCATGAACATGTTCTCTGAGCGTTCAGAAAGTATTCGAGTTTGTTATTCAAAAAAATATTGTATTATTCCCTATTTTCAGAGAAGTAGAAGTGGAAGACGCTCTTCTGCAGGACGTGCTGTCGAATGCAGACTGCCACCTAGGTGAGTATCGTGAAGGGCGTGCCATGGGAGTGCAGATCCTTAGAGTCCCTTATTCTCGTTATTCATTTTAAGCAAAGCCTAATACGGTTCTTGACGTTTCTCGAATTCTCATCTTCAGCAATACTGGCACCGAACTTTCGAAAAAATTCGCTGCTAGTCCTCAATGGATGAAAAGTTCTTGGAGCTAGATCAAGAAACATTGCTTCTTTACGTTAGCAATGTTTCTTGATCTAGGTCCAAGAACTTTAAGAACGGAACAACTTATTACCAGCCAAGGGAAAGAAGTTGGAGGTGGTACGTGTAAAATGAAGGGGAGAGCGACATTGGTTCTCCGGTTGATGTGTCCCAGAGTTTGGAGACCTTTGGAGGAAAAAAGTGTTGTTCCGAGACTCAGGTGTGCAAGAAAGGGTTCCGCTGTCGAGGTGTCTCCCCACTAAAATTAACAATGTCGGCGAAGTAGAGCCTAGAAAAAATCAACTTTCAAAGCCCTCCGAATCGTGATCTACTCGGAAAGTCTCAGCAAGTTTTGAAGTTGCTCAAAGCTATAAATTGATCAAATTCTTCTCTATAAACTTGCTCACCTCCATCAGTTCAAAACTGGTAAACTTCCATCAGAAACAGAAACGAAGCGAGAGCGCAGCGGTATGACTTACTTCCAATCTAACCATAGGGTATGTGTCACCTGGTGCGTCCGAGGATGCAAGCGTATATTGCGGTACATGGTACATGTACCGCAATATACGCTATACGGTACATGTGGCGAAGTTCTTAACGATTTGAACGACTTTAGCGCTTATTATTGAGGCCCAAAGAAAGTAAAAGAGTGAAGTAGAGTAGATTAGAAGGATCATCTGACTCTGTTAAACTACTCTACTTCGAGTTTTTGCCCCGAAAATTGGCGTCAGAATCGTACAAATCGCCACGAACTTCGCCGCACAATTTGCCGCGCGCGTCCTCGGACGCACGAGGTGACCGTCCTCTAACCATGAGGTGCTTCTAATTAAAAAAGCCTTACGGAGGTACTGAGAGGTTAGAAGTAAAAAATCGAGAGAGAAGGGGTTTTTTCTTGTAAGCCTGAACCACAATTCCGTAGCAGTGGAAAGTCTCCCTATNTCTGACAAAACCTAAAAATATTTCAGTAAAAGTCAGTATATACGTACCATAGTTCACAGAAGTCAACATGTTTTGAAGCTTTCATTTGAACTCAAACGCTATTTCCTCTGGAGAGTCCTAACAGGTGTGGGTGTAGCTCCTTTCATAGCCCTTCGAAGAGGTCGCGTCGCACCCAAGCCTCTTCGAAGGGCTGAAAACAAAGAAAAATAAGATCGAAAACCATTTCCATAAGCCCCTTCGAAGGGCAAATGCAGGTAGTTTTGATTTTGTTTTTATTTGTTTTCACCCCGTCGAAGGGGCTCGGGCGCGACGCGACCGCGTTGACCGACCACCTGCCTCCCTCCCCCCTCCTAGCACTATCTCGGCTGGCATGCCAGCACACCGGCATGCCGGCGGACTATGAAAGCAGCCTGTGAGAGGGGGGCCATTTCGTCGCTACAACACTCTCACTTTATGTCACGATATTATTTCTGCATTATTTCAAATTTATTTGCTCGCGGAAGAAAGAACAATGTAATCTCAGTATCGAGAAACCAGAACGCATTCATCAGTCTCTCCGAAGATCTCGGAATGCGTCGAGTACTGGAGTTCGAGCTGTAATTAAACCTCAAAGTATATTAGTACTTCTAAGACGTTTGTTTTCAGAAAACGAGCTATCACGTACACAACACCGATGTCGTCACTGGATTCTTCTGATGAGTTTCCTCACTTGGCCGACAATGAGCTATCTAAAGACGAAAACACAAGTGCGTCCTCCATTTAATTTGAGTTTGCGTGCGAAACTTTGTTTTCGCCCACGGATTGCCGTTTGTCTAAAAAAAAGTCTAAAAAAGGCAATCTGTTAAAGAAACTGATTCCTAGCTTTCTTCATGTGTGGAATTTTGATAGTCCAGCCGCTACTTCTGTACTTTCAATTCTTCCTAATTTCGATTCAAAAAATACCAGTCTTTCAAAGCACTGGGTCTCAAAACTTGGACGTGGGAATAGCTTTCATGATATGGTCGTGCCATATACATCAAACTCCTAAATGAGACTTAAACAATACATAGGAGGACTGTTCAAGCATGGTTTATCGAATTTTGGTTTGGTTTAGAACTTACTATATTGTGCGAAGGTATCATGTCGGCTGATATCGCTTTCTGAGGTCGGATCAGTTGCTGGATGGCTAAGGACGCAAGGAAGGCGAAATCGTGCGCTACCATGCTGAGAGTTGAAAAAGTTCAGCAACGTCCGGGATTCGAACGGCACATTTCCATCGAGCTGTGGCTTCAGACGTAGAGGGGAAGACGGTAATCTTTGCTTCTGTTCTGTGTTCGCGACCGCCATCACGCTCACTACTGAGAATCAGATTTGAAGCCGGGAAGATGAACGAAACTTGGTGAGGAGGAAGCAGGATAAATAGCGGCCATCAACATCACAAAGCCCAAACTGCACCCCAAAATGGTTCTCCTCTTTCTTTGATTGTCAATGTGTTCGCTGGATTGAAGCCTGCAATCCAGATGCAACTTATCTTAGCCCAGGCCTATGTTCGCTGACTTCTGAGCTCAAGATTATGTCATCCGTCTAGAAGAGCAAATCCCCCTATCGTTACGGGAACACCCAACCACACGCTATGAAATCAACACAGGACTAGAAGCTATGACCCGGGTGGAGTGCTCCAGCTCGCTTTCGGACCACGCTTCTGCGAATGACTGACCGCCACTCCCCACTGTCATCCTATTGGAAAGAATATTGAAAGAAGACGAGGTCGGGAAGACATTAAGCGACTGATCGAAGCCTAGATCCAATATTTCAAAACAACAAACTACTCGAGTGTTGATGTCTGAAGGTGATTAGGAATTTTTACACAGTGGTCTCTACGTCTGTCCATTCTTGAAATATTTACAATGAAGGAACGTTCTTAAAATGTCCATATAGCAACTCAATAGTGAGGATAGATAACCTAACAGGAGTCTTACATCGCTTGGTTTGCCACTTTCTTTGCCTGTCATAGACCCTCCACGCTACGGTAGGCTCTTACAATAGGTTCCTCATGACATAATGCTTGCGCAGTTGAAATTCTGCTGAAGTGATGCTGTTAGAGCAGCTCCAAGAACGTGATCAGTTACAAATGAAAAATTTTTTTGAAGAAGAAATGATTCCTCATAGCTTTTCCATTGCTTTTAAGTGAATAATGAGCAAAGGGAACCTAGTCACATTGTTTCTTATTCTTCCAGCCGAACCAAGTGTGGACAGCCTAACACTCGAGGAGGACCCGGTGAGAGGACGACGACAACTGACCAACTTATTACCGTCGATAAAACCACTCGGTCGTTTCACAAGGAACCTATTGCGACGAGGATCGGGGCCTTGATGCTCTTCAATGTGCTATGTGTAAACAACGTTCGAAGAAATTTCTTTTGCTTTTACTTCATATTCATTCTGAAGCAAGTTCGTTTCTTTTTGAGCTTTTCTATTGCGCTGCAAGTTTCTTAGAACCATTTTCGATACCCCTTCCTTGTAACCTAATAACATTTCATTATTCTCTCTCGAATTGAACTAGGAGAGTCTTATCGATCCTGGTACTGTTCACTTTTGTAGACCGCTTATATTATTGTTTGTTTCATTTCAACCTTCCTCAGACTCAATATCCATGTTGTCGAATTGAGTGTTCTGATCACTATACGTACCTTTGCTACTACCTCTCTGACCGTGCTGCCCAGCCAACCTATTCTTTTGAACTGTGGTACAGTAGGATCGAGATTGTCGCGTCGCGGCAAGAGAGACGCCGCGTGCAGAGAGTGTTGCAGAATGTAGGCAGCAAGTAAGAAATGCAGGAACAACAAAATTAACATTAGAATCATGCCAAAAATAGTTATCGCATATTGATTGAGCTGTATGAAGAACGCTAGAGCTGTAATGACGGAAGAATGGTTCGCGACCGCCGCGCGTGGCGTATCGATTACACAGAACCGATTCTACTGCCCATCTCCCATTCTTTTAGATATCTCGGAAGTGTTTTATAGACATGGCAGAGTAAAGCATAATTTCAGATTTGTATCAACCATATTATTCCTTCAATATTCTAAGCATAGTCTTTTGTTTGTATTTTCACAACTCCAATGATGAATGGTTTTTACATTGTGCTGCTTATGAAATCTGTTGTTTGAAAGTCCTGTTCACTCCGAGCTCATCTCGTTCCTGTGACATGGTCGGAATGGCCGAATCATCCTCGTATTAATTGTTTCCATGTAATTTTTTTACATTATTTTCAATTTTATTTATTCTTTTTCTAGCACGCTTCTTTCCTATCCAAGCTCCCAGTGTAGATAAATACTTTTCATCTTTAATGAGCGGTATATAAATCCATCACGGCGAGAGTGGTATAGAGGCAAATGATCACGGGATCGATATCGCCGAGACAAATCGAGCCTCCCATCGCTCCGGGTTCGGATGATTCATAGCAGACTCGTCTGGGAGGATAAAAGTCCTGGCTTCACCACCGCGAATCATTATTTGGGCCGCATATGCATTCATTACGCCACCACGATTCTGAATGGAAGTAAATGCGGGGCGTATCCCTCAGACGAGATTAATCAACTCCGAAAACCTTTATCCTCCGTCATTTATGTAACTTTTTAGCACTTATAAAATGTGTACAGAATGATTATTTATTTCAGCTAAAGCGTAACGATAACAGTCGGTGAAAGACATCTCATGGCATCATGTTGACTTGGCAAATTGCATTTGATCTCATCCTCTCTAATGAGTGCAACCCATTTTAACGGCATTGAGGGGAAAGTGTATAACTGCTGAAAGAATGATACGGCAAAAGAATAATGACGGTTTGAGAACCGTGATTTTCCTAGCCTTTTCCAGTATTGTCGTGAGATAGGAGGAGCTCACGTGTCGGTCTTGATGATGTAGTGATTGACGTCGCTTTTTTACTTGAATAAATATCCGTCACTTATCGCGAATTCATGCATTTGGTGATTTTTAGGCTTTGTTTCTACTGACGTCAGCATGAAAGTTATATGTAGTGTAGCAAGTGCTAGCAGGCTACAAAACTTGATGTGCTAGCGCTACTATGGTCATGAGGAAGGAATCAAATCCTCTCAGTCACAATTTCGGGCTTTTCTATTCTCCACTCTTACGAAAACACTTTCATTTTGCTCCTCAACATTACAATCCTTTGTTAGCGCTTACCGGCTCTAACACTTCCTGTTACCCACATTCTACGTCCCTATTCTTTCTCCCAGGGACGTCGAATGTGGGTAACATCCATCCGACTGAACTCTATGATGGTGTGAAGGGGTGAGTCTACATATATCTGTAAGGCACGGGTTCAAAGGGGATCTATTCCAGTATACTTGATCAGAACTCAGATGTTATTATGACTTCCAGATCCTGCTAATTTTTGCTACTTATAGTTTCCATAACAACCTTCCATCAGGTGTGACCAGTGTTGCAAACAATGTCGTCTAATTTTTGACAGCGTACATCAATTGCTTCACCTCCTTTGGCGATTATCTACCTTGTCATATACGAAGGTTTGGACCTGAAGCTGAAGAGTTTTCGTACATAAAAGCTTTTTAATTTTTGGTCGCATACACTCCTAAAACCATTACATGTATGTAGTAGGCTATATGATAGGACAGGTCTGAGGATCCGTTTCAAAACCACTGGTTTGAAGATTTGTGACTGAGCATCATGAGCTTGGCAGTCGAAGCATTGGGTTATATCCCACCTCGCTTGCCATCCACAAAGTGAGTGAGCAAGTTTAGAGATCAAGTTTGGACTTCTTCCATTCATAGGCCAGCCAGTCCTTGGAATAATGACCCTACCGTCCAGATGACTAA